GTGAGACAGCCATTGTGGGACTACTCTGTGGAAAACTGTCCAGACTCAAGAACCAAGCAAGAGGTTTTGCAGCCTCTCAGATGTGAGACAGCTATTGTTACTATTTCAATGAAAGCTAATTTAATTATATCATATTAAATATATATAAATTTATATAATTTTCATTCTATTGATTCTGACCTTCTAGAGAGCCCTGACTAATACAGTAATGTGATAGCTTGAGTAAGAATGGCTCTCACAGGTACATATGTTTGAACACTTAGTCCCTAATTGGTGGAACTGCTTAGGAAGGATTTGGAAGTATGATCCTGTTGGAGGAGGTGTGTCACTGGAGGTAGGCTTTGTGGTTTCAAAAGACTCAAATCATTTCCAGGGTATTCTTTGTCTCCTGTTTGTAACCCAAGACCTAAGTCTCAACTGAAGCTCCTCCTTCCATGCCTTTACTCCACCATCATGGACTCTGACCCTCTGGAACTATAAGCCCAATTAAACTCTATCTTTCATAAGTTATCTTGGTTATGGTGTGTCAACTGAGTAATATGCTAATGCCTAGTCTTTAATAGGAGTTCAGCTTCTTTCTTATATAAATTATAACTACCATCTACAGTGATGTTTCCACTTTTTTAAAGGAAGAAAAAAAGCACCCAGTTATTTAGTTTTCCCAGATTTATACATTATTGGTCTAAATTGCATAAAAAATAAGCACAATTGATGTAAGAAAGCTTGATCACTGGTGCATCAGAAAGCAGAACAGAGATGTACTTGAGGACAGCTTTTAATGGAAAGCATTAACTATGCATCATTATGCTTTGGCATGAGTCAGCACAGTCTATGGAAGGACAAGGAAATGTCAGTTGCTCCAATGAGACAATCAACTAGACATTGGTTCAGAGTGTCTATATACTTTACAGATACAGCCTCATGAAATATATATAATGGCATAATCATTTTCAAATCAAATGCACTGGTCTAAAGGTTCATATCTGGTGAAGTATTACAGGGTAAGATGGTGGCTCACTTGCTGAAATGCTTGCTATTCGAGCACAAGAACCTGAGTTTGGGGATCCCCACACTCACATAAAACCCAAGGCATAGCAGCATAGACCTTGTAATCACAGCACTGGCATTCAGAGACAGGAAAAACCGCGGGCTTGCTCACCAGCCAATCTAGCCAATAGGCAAGCTCCACATTCAGCAAGGGACCCTGTCTCAAGAAAGAAAGTAGAAAATGACAGAAGACATCCAACATTGACTCTGGCCTCCTCCATATGCACATGCACGGGTATATATACCCACATGCACATACACACAGAGAAAGAGAAGATATTATAGGTCAGGGGTGATGGTGCATGCCTGGAATCTTGGTCTCTGGGAAGGACAAAGAGGCAGGACAACTTTGCAAGCGCAAAACCAACCTGACCTACAAAACAGTTATTAGAACATCTGAGACCATACAGAGAAACTCCATATCAAAGAAAAGGAAGAAAATATACATGCTGTATAGTCACAAAATCCAAGCTTACTCTGTCCTGTTACTAGCACCTACTTTTCAACATGAACCTGTGGGCCCCAGGTTGCTCACTCCTTCAAATTAGTTCATATCACAGAAAAAAAAAATGCATAAATAGGCTCAACCAAAACACCATGAAAAATCAAGGTCCCCTTGCTGTTTCAGCCCTTAAACCTGGTCCACAGTTTCTTTGTCCTTCAGTTTCCTTTAGCTACCTAGAATACTTGGCTAGAACTGTAACAGTGTTTTCAACTTGCCCTCTTTTACCTGCTTTGTATCACCAGAGTTCTGACTAATCACATCAATTTTAGGATGTATGCAAACCATTTCTTGTGGGGGCAAGCCTCCTACTTGTTCTATATCTGAGAATCTTCCCGGTGTGTCCCTAAGGTGCCCTCTGCATCAGCACATTCAACCATCATCTTAGTCAAGCCCACACTACTTAAGGTTGCTAATGCAGACAAAGTACATGAGTGCACTGAGAAGAAAAATCTACAGTGCTAAGGTACTAAAATACATCAGGAAAGAGATATCTAGACTTTCTCACAAAGAAATTTTGAAAAATTGTAATACTAACTAATACCTAAATAATTTGAATTTTTTAATTTGTCACATATAAAAACCTGATTATTTTTATTCTATTTTAATAACAAAGTTGTGAATTGGGAGAATAAGAAGATGACTATGTGATCCTCACAGTTTCAAAGGCTATACCTTATATCATTTCCAAATCTAAACTTTGTAATAAATACAGTAACTTTTTGTTTTATAGTTACTTGTTTAATGTGTGCTTTACATTGATTTGTTTAGTGCACATGTGTAGTGGCCAGACAACTTGGGGAGTTGGTGCTCTCCTTCCACTTTGTGGTCCCAGAATGGAACTCAAGTCTTCAGGTGTGGTAGCAAGCTGAGTCATCTCAACAGCTCCAATTATCACAACTTTAAAAATCATAATTTAATTAATATATCACAACTCCCATACCTTTTAATAGTTCTGAAATTCTCTTTAGCAAAACAGAAACAAGGCTCAATCCCAAACCAGCATTGAAATTGAGGGAAGCTAGACAACACACTTTTGGGAGGAAAACAAAAGTTATGTTTATAACTTATGACTAACCACAGTGAAAAGGAGTTCTCAGATCATACTGTCTGCCTGGAAATCACTGACTAGAAAATACTGCTGCAAAGTCTTCCCAACCTACTGTTCCACAGAAGCATAAACAGGTAATGTGGACACACCCTTCTCCCCAGCTAAAAACTATTCCCTCTATAATAATTTCTCTAAAACAAAATCACTTAAGAATACCCTTTACTTTGTATGATTTAAATTTGACATATGTGATTCAATTGCAAAAGAAAGAAACCTATAAATATGGGTTACCACAACAAAACCACCAGGAGTCTTGTGTGAGACACTGTCTAGGCATCTAAAACATAACAGCACAATAGCCAAAGGCTAGCACATCAAATTAAAACATACCAATTTCCTCCACTTCTTCCAGGAAATCATTATACTCTCTCAGACTAGGAAAATCTTCTTCTCTTTTATTATATCTATAGAGAAAAGAAAATTCAAGTATTACATATGATCACAGACCATTTATATAAGCAGCTTGCTTATTCCTACTTAATTCATACATGGTATGGAGACAATAATGGTGTACTGTGTGAATGCAAGCTGGTTTTGAGGGAGGGGAGGTTTGTTGGGCTGACTTTGGTCTTGTTTTGTTTTTCTGGGGTGTGGAAGGTTGAATTTTGTTCATGATGAGCATGTGTTCTACCACCAAGCTATGCATGCAACCCAAAAACACTGTTCTAAAAATTCTTAGGATTACAAAGAAGATGTAGCATCAGGAGAGAATGCTATCACAGGACATTTCTTAAAGGTCTTAAGAAAAGAGATTTAATGAGGTGCTTCAGGGATGTGAAATGAACTTAAGTAAGTCATATCATTAAAAAATTTATTATTTATTTATTATATAATGTCATTAAGTTCAGAAAACTGAAGCTTAAATAAAAAAAGACTCGATAGTTTTTCATAGCAATAGTAACCAAAAAAAACCATGTCACAAAATATAAAGATATTGTAATGTACCTGTGAATAACAAAACTGAAAGGGATAAAGAGAAAAGGTCACACAGTAAAGATCTGCTGGACACTGATAAAGTATAATTCCGCATCTAGGAAGATGTCACTAAGTCTTTAGTAAAATGTATGCCCCCAACACAATAACTGAGAGGGGCTGGAGAGGTAGGTCAGCGGTTAGGAGCTCTGTTGTGCTCAGGATAGCCAGGACATGAAGAAAGGAAACAGGAGTGTTGCAGTCCTTTCTTCCGCCTTCCTTCTCTATGCCCCTTGCAGAACTTCCGGCAGAGAAATGCTAGCCAGCGCATCTGAGGCCCACCATCTCTGTGGTCTGTTGCAGGTACTATGAGGAGAGCCTGGGGTTAGAATTAGCCACTTTCAGTGGGAAACAAGTGGTGGCTACTGGCTATGAGGACCCTGTACTGTGGATCTGGATTTGCTGCTCCTTCCTTTATAGTAAAACACCGACTGCTTAGAAAACAAGGATGTTGAATTCACTCTTTTAACAGATAAAAAGAATATTTAAGAGGAAGATTAAACTCTTGAATTCTTATACTAGATAAGATTGAAAACAAACTAATAACATGAAAAAAAGAAAGAAAAACGAATCTGAAATCCTCCTGTAGAAGCCCTGAGTTCAGTTTCCAGCACCCACGTCTGGGAGTTTACAACTGCTTGTAACTCCAGCTTCAGGTGGATCCAACGCAACAGCTCGAGCTCCGAGCACCAGCACTCAGATGTACACACACTCACAGACAGACAATCTAAAAATAAGCTGGGTGGTGGTGGTACACACCTTTAATCCAGGCACGTGGAAAGGCAGAGGAGGGTGGATCTCTGAGTTTGAGGCTAGCCTAGTCTACAGAGCCAGTGCCACAACAGCCTGGGATACACAGAGAAACCCTGTGGGAACGGGGGAGTCAATCACAGTTTAGCTTTGTGGCTCAGAGGCAGAGCACATGCTTAGAGTACCCAAGGCATTGTATTCAATCCTCCAACACCAAAGACAAAACAAAACCTTAAGGAAATGTATATAATTTAAACATAATAAAGTACATATAACAAAAGGGGCAAATAAAATGAAACTCAAAACTACTAACAAATCATAAAAATGCACCCACATACATGGCCAAAATAAAGTACAGCTAATATTTTAGTGTCTCTAAGTGAGCTTCAAACTGAAACTTAAACGTCCTTATCAGTCCTTACAGTAAATCTGCTTTGTTCACTACTTTATTTTCTATCTCCTTAATATCCTACACTACTTTACTGGTAAGCCTCATGAGAACAAGGCTGACAACTCTCTTACACACCATTTTTCAATTACTGCTAATACATATAACACAGGATTTGCTAATTAAATAATAGCAAATGAATAAACTGTGAAAACACCAAGAAAGTTCTCATGCTCGCTTCGGCAGCACAAATACTAAAATTGCAACAATACACGGAAAATTAACATGGCCCCTGCACAAGGATGACAAGCAAATTCATGAAGACGTTCTTCTTTAACAAAGGGTAGATATTATAGTTACTATAAACTTAACAAATTTTGTAAAATAAGTGTACAGATGATTTTTATAACCACGTTGTTATTTGCCAATCTGGTCAAGCTGACGGGAGCAGATAATGACGATGATTACCGAGATAACTGGCGAAGTTGTCTCTGCTGGCCAGTCCCTAGGTAATAAACAACACTTACATCTTTAGCACTTTTTTCCGAATCTCAACCTCCTTGTCAACAGTGGGATCTTCAAAGAGCTGCACCCTGAAGTTGCTCTTTCTAAGTGGAGTGCCACACTCAGGACAGTTCCCAGCTCCTCTCACGAACAGTAAATCCACACAACTCTCACACCTGTAAAGAAGCACATGCAGCATTATAGTAATAGTTGTGAAATAAGAAGAGGTCAGGAGTGCAGAAGGGAGTTGATGGAGACAGGAAGAATTAGAGCAGGGAAAGGAAGGGATGAAATGATGCGAATATGGTATTCAATGTTTGAAATTCTCAAAAGTAAATAAATTTTAAATGACAGAAAACATAGCATTTAAGGCAGTCTTCAAATCTGCAAGCTTAAACAATCTGCCCTTCAGGGAAAGACTGAGGATGGGGGATGAAAATGTCATGGCTACTTTTACAAAAAATAAAACTTTGGAATATAACCTTTATTTGCCAATTCCTTTTCAGACACAGATAACTGAAGAGATACTAGTTATAGAAATGTCAAAGGTGACTAAATTCAGAGAGGACTAAGAAGATTCAGGGGAGGAAAACAGAGGAAACAGGGAATGAAAATCTTCCCAATGCACTGTCAAGTCTCTTTATAATAAGCTGAGCATCCCAATTCAGAACCCCAAAATGGGACTGGGGAGATGGCTCAGTCATAAAGTGCTTAATGGATAAGCATGAGAACATGGGTTTGAACTTCTGACGCCCACATACAGGCAGGGGTGTGATGGAGCGTTACTGTAGTCACAATATTGAGGAGGCTGAAACCAAGGCGGATTCTTTGACGCTCACTAGCAAAACGGCCTAGTCAACCTGTGAGCCCCAGATTCAGTGAGAGACCTTCAAATCATAAGGTGGAAAACAATTGGAGAAGACATCCAACATTGGCCTCTGGTCAAAACACACACACACACACACAGACACACACACACACACACATACACACACAGACACACACACACACACACACACACCCTAGAGGCTAAAATGTTCTGAAAACTGAAACATTATTATGTTGCCATGACACTGAGCAGAAAATTTCACATCATAAAACTGATTCATACACTAAATTACTAAAACATTACCTAAAACCATGTTTGTGTTATGCATACATAAGAAACAAAGAGATATAGTGTTTAAGCTTGAATCTCGACCAGCTGTGGCAGTGCATTCTATAAAACACAGCACTCAGGAACTCAAGACAGGACCAGAAACTCAGTGCCATCCTTAGCTATTTAACAAATTTGAGGTCAGTCTTGGCTATATTATGAGATTCTGTCTCCAAAAAAATAGAAGTATATATTTTCTGTAAGAAAACTTGAATCTCTCTGGGCACTTTAATCGTAGCACTCGGAAGGCAGAGACAGGTGAATCTCTGTGAGTTCAAGGCCAGCCTGGTCTATAAAATGAGTTCCAAGACACCCAGGGCTGTACACAGAGAAAACCTGTCTCAAACCAAAACATCAAACCAAAACCAAAACCTTGAATCTCATCCCCAAGATAATTCAGTGTGCAAATATTTAAGAATTTTTAGGAATTAAAACTCTGAAACTCTTTTAGTGCCAAGTAAGGGATTTTCAAGCAGTGCCACCATTAGACACAGGCAGGGGACTTCTCCACCAGGAGCCTGGATTTAAAGAGGACCTGAGGACCACAATCACAAAAGCTGACATTTCCCCTTTCAGTCTTGCAAGGAAACTGAAAACTCAGTTTATAAGAGAAGAGTGCTAAATGAATAATATCCCACAGGTTGTAGAAACAAAACAAAAAAAAACCAAACAAATTTCCAGAGTGCTGAAGTAGAAGGAAGGAAGCACCAGAGTTGGCACCACGAGAGATCCAAGGGAGAGCGGCTGCTCACCAAGCTTCACTCACATCAATGATCCACTCTGAGTCAACCAGATCAGCTGCCCAGTGACAGAGCATGGCTGTAGGTCAGCTCTCCTAACTTCTTGGATAGTGAAATTAGGGGTAGGGCCCGCATTTCCCGTAAGTCTTCAGTTGGAAAGGGTTGGGAAGGAACTCCTTTCTTTAATGGGATTCCTTCTAAGAGACGCTAAGATCAGTTTGTAAGACAGCAAGACATCATCTTATATCAACAAAGAGACACTACCCTGGAGGGTCTCTGCACGCCCCAACAGCTCCATGCTGCTGCTTCAACAAAGAAGTAACAAGGTGGGTGTCAGGAAAGAGCAACTTTTTTAGCTGGAATCTTGGGGATTTAGACTTCTGGAAACTCACCATGCAGGATAAGTGTGTGTGTGTATTATATACATACATATATACATTATAATATTATATTATATATATATTATTCAGACATTTGTTATTCTCAAGCTGTAATCCTGTGCAGCTCCGAGTGTCAGGGACATGGAGACTTAACCACTCCTTTAAATAGTAATATCTAAAATTATTTCTTTGTGGATTCAGTCTCTCCTGATAGAATGTATTAATAGTATAATTTGTCAATCAGTACTCCATCCACATTGCTTGACTGCAGGTAGTAAGTAAATATTATGAAAAAAATGAAATAACAGGAGAGAAAGAGAATTTTTTTTTCAGACAGTCTCATTGTGCATCCCTGGCTGACTCTCTGTGTAGACCAGGCTGGCCTTAAACTCACAGTGACTCTTCCTTCCAAGTATGAGGACAAAAGGTGTGCACCACAGCCATCACACCTGACAAGAAAGAAAAACCCTTATAAATAAGAGCAAAACATTTTTTCAAGTAAGTATTTGATGTAAGTGATACATGAAATCAGAAAAGTAAAAAAAAGGTATAAGAATTTTCAAATGCTAAGTGTGCTGGCACATGCCTATAATCCCAGTGTATCGAGGCAGAAAGACCATTGAAAGTTCAAGACTAGCATTATAGATAGCTTCAGGCCAGCCAGGGCTACAGACAAGACCCTGTCTCAAGAAGACTCAAAAGAAAAGGAGAGAAGGAAGGGAGGGAGGGAGGGGGAGGGAGGGAGGGAGGGAGGAAGGGAGGGAGGGAGGGAGGGAGGGAGGAAGGGAGGGAGGGAGGGAGGGAGGAGAGCGAGCATTGAATTGAGGCATTTTGTTTTATTTACTCTTTCACCAGGAACCTCAGTACTGAGACTGAACCTTTTCTAGCTGTGTGATAAAGAAGACTTCCCCCTTCCTAGCACAGAGAATAGATCTGAAGGGGAGAAGTAGTATAAAAATGCAGTTTTCTTTTGTATGATGAAATGTAAAAATTATCAGATTTTTTTTTTAAAAAATCTGCTTTGATGTGGGATTCCCCTCTGTAAGCTGTGAATACGTTTGATTACCATTGGTTAATAAAGGAGTTGTTTTGGCCAATGACTTAGCAAAGTAAAGCCAGTCAGGAAATCTGAACAGAGATATAAAGAGAAAGTAGGCAGAGTCAAAGAGACTCCATGTAGCTGCCGAAGGAGAAAGACATTGTCACCGAAACCTTACTGGTAGGCCACAGTCTTGTGGTGATATACAGAATAATAGAAATGGGCTAATTTAAGATGTAAGAATTACATAGTTAATAAGTTAATAAGAAGCCTAAGCTAATAGGCCAAACAGTGTTGTAATTTATATAGTTTCCGCGTGATTATTCGGGTCTGAGCAGTTGGGAAAAAAAAGGAGCAGTCTCTATTTACAAAATTGCACGCTGACGTGGAGCAACTACATCCACATAAAAACTGAGAGATCTTGGGAAAGAATTCTAGACACAAAAGAATAGACTTAAGTACAGCTTCCTGGTAGACGCATTTTTTCAGATAGGCTCTGTTTGCTGCTGGAGAGCAGAGTTGTGGCTCCTTTAAGAGGTTTCCTGACTCAGGTTTAGTGGCAAAAACTGTGAGTCTTCTTTAAGTTAAGGCTTCCTGGTTCATGATGGCAGCATGAACTCTGGCTCTTTTGCGAGGTCCTGCACTTCAATGGGGTTTGTGAGCAGAGTGCTACAAGTTGCTTAATGGCGACATAGACCCAAAGCACCCCTGGAGCTGAGTGCTGTGCATGACTCACAGAACCAGTGAACACAATCTCTGGACGGAGCAAACACACAGGACCTTGGAGTTGGTCCTAGTCATGCCTACTTAGATTTTTTTTTTTAGATGGGGGGGGTACTCCTGGTCAGAAAATGATTACAGATATGTAATAAAGGCAGATTCGGATGAAAAAGACCTTGAACTGGGTCATAGTGTTGTATAAATGTACGTAGTCTTGGGAGGGAGAAGAAAGAGTATAGACAGTTACAAGAAATCTGTAAGAAATAGGTTTAAAAAATAAAACAAAGTCTTTAAAGAGAAAGTAAAAGTAACAGAAATGAGTATAGACAGTCATAGATTAAAGGAGTAAAGAGAGTAAAAAAACACAAGCCATGCAAAGATAGAATATACACAGAGAGTCTGGATTATGTATATTATTATGTTTTTTTTGAATTTTTTGACTGCAGAGGGACATTTGTTTCTGGGGGTTGCTAAGTTAAACCAACATAAAGGTATCTTGACTTCAATATTTGGGTCTAAGGACATGTTTCTTTGGAAAGAGGTTCTGCTTTTTTTTCCACAGGAGATGAGAACCTGTGGATTCCTTCCAGGCTGATGTGATTTGATGGAACAAGACCCCTGAGAGGTCTCCTTGATCCCTAAAAATACTTCACACAATAAACAACAGGAAGCAGTTTGGATAAAACAATACCCAAATTTCCAAGATAATTGTTTATAAATGTTTGTTTTCATTTAAAGGGGGTTGATTATAAGTATTTAATGGTCACTGTCAATTTCTTAAAAAGAAATTAAGTGTGA